TAACACAGACACAGACCATGTGACCTGCAGCTGGTTTTCTCAGTTCCCAGACCCGGACCTGGACCCGGTCTCTGAGGTCCAGGTTCAGTCTCAGTTGGTCCAGGTCTTTGTTCTCTGGTGAAATACCGCAGGTCTGTGGGATTCAATCTGAAGAGACCAAAGACACAATTCATACATTAAAGTGATTTATTTCTTTGGCGCATTGACCCCGGCAGTGACACTCGCAGCTGAAGATCATCTCAGACCCCCCGGGGTCAAGCACTGGTGGGGGCTAGAGTATGGTTGGTACATATGTACCAACTCTGAGGAGCACAGGGACTGGCCTCCTGCTGGGACTCTGAGGAGCACAGGGACTGGCCTCCTGCTGGGACTCTGAGGAGCACAGGGACTGGCCTCCTGCTGGGCCTCTGAGGAGCACAGGGACTGGCCTCCTGCTGGGACTCTGAGGAGCACAGGGACTGGCCTCCTGCTGGGACTCTGAGGAGCACAGGGACTGGCCTCCTGCTGGGACTCTGAGGAGCACAGGGACTGGCCTCCTGCTGGGACTCTGAGGAGCACAGGGACTGGCCTCCTGCTGGGACTCTGAGGAGCACAGGGACTGGCCTCCTGCTGGGACTCTGAGGAGCACAGGGACTGGCCTCCTGCTGGGACTCTGAGGAGCACAGGGACTGGACTCCTGCTGGGACTCTGAGGAGCACAGGGACTGGCCTCCTGCTGGGACTCTGAGGAGCACAGGGACTGGCCTCCTGCTGGGACTCTGAGGAGCACAGGGACTGGCCTCCTGCTGAGACTCTGAGGAGCACAGGGACTGGACTATAGGGAAGTATCTGTCTCTATGTTGTGTGTCGGTGTCTGTGTTGTGTGTCTGTCTCTGTGTTGTGTGTCTGTCTCTATGTTGTTTGCCCGTCTCTGTGTTGTGTGTCCGTCTCTGTGTTGTGTGTGTGTGTCTGTGTTGTGTGCCCGTCTCTGTGTTGTGTGTGTGTCTGTGTGGTGTGTCCGTCTCTGTGTTGTGTGTGTGTCTGTGTTGTGTGTGTGTCTGTGTTGTGTGTCTTTGCAGCGTGAGAACAGTTTCTCTCAGACGCAGTCACTCATTGTGTAGATGATTACAGAGGCCTTTAACAACTGTAATGTCAAAGAAAGACCAGGTGTGTCTGTGTGCATTTGTCTACAGCCTCTCTCTGGTCTCTCTCTGGTCTCTCTCTGGTCTCTCTCTGGTCTCTCTCTGTTCTCTCTCTGGTCTCTCTCTCTGGTCTCTCTCTGGTCTCTCTGGTCTCTCTGGTCTCTCTCTGGTCTCTCTGGTCTCTCTCTGGTCTCTCTCTGGTCTCTCTCTCTGGTCTCTCTCTGGTCTCTCTCTGGTCTCTCTCTGGTCTCTCTCTGGTCTCTCTCTGTTCTCTCTCTGGTCTCTCTCTCTGGTCTCTCTCTGGTCTCTCTGGTCTCTCTGGTCTCTCTCTGGTCTCTCTCTGGTCTCTCTCTGGTCTCTCTCTCTGGTCTCTCTCTGGTCTCTCTCTGGTCTCTCTCTGGTCTCTCTCTCTGGTCTCTCTCTGGTCTCTCTCTGGTCTCTCTCTGGTCTCTCTCTGGTCTCTCTCTGGTCTCTCTCTCTGGTCTCTCTCTGGTCTCTCTCTGGTCTCTCTCTCTGGTCTCTCTCTGGTCTCTCTCTGGTCTCTCTCTGGTCTCTCTCTGTTCTCTCTCTGGTCTCTCTCTGGTCTCTCTCTGGTCTCTCTCTGGTCTCTCTCTGGTCTCTCTCTGGTCTCTCTGGTCTCTCTCTGGTCTCTCTCTGGTCTCTCTCGGGTCTCTCTCTGGTCTCTCTCTGGTCTCTCTCTGGTCTCTCTCTGGTCTCCCTCTGGTCTCCCTCTGGTCTCTCTCTGGTCTCTCTCTGGTCTCTCTCTGGTCTCTCTCTTGTCTCTCTCTCTGGTCTCTCTCTGGTCTCTCTCTGTTCTCTCTCTGGTCTCTCTCTGGTCTCCCTCTGGTCTCCCTCTGGTCTCTCTCGGGTCTCTCTCTGGTCTCTCTCTGGTCTCTCTCTGGTCTCTCTCTGGTCTCTCTCTGGTCTCTCTCTGGTCTCTCTCTGGTCTCTCTCTCTGGTCTTCTCTCTGGTCTCTCTCTGGTCTCTATCTCTGGTCTCTCTCTCTGGTCTCTCTCTGGTCTCTCTCTGGTCTCTCTCTGGTCTCTCTCTGGTCTCTCTCTCTGGTCTCTCTCTGGTCTCTCTCTGGTCTCTCTCTGGTCTCTCTCTGGTCTCCCTCTGGTCTCTCTCTGGTCTCTCTCTGGTCTCTCTCTGGTCTCTCTCTGGTCTCCCTCCGGTCTCTCTCTGGTCTCTCTCTCTGGTCTCTCTCTGGTCTCTCTCTGGTCTCTCTCTGGTCTCTCTCTCTGGTCTCTCTCTGGTCTCTCTCTGGTCTCTCTCTGGTCTCTCTCTGGTCTCTCTCTGGTCTCTCTCTGGTCTCTCTCTGGTCTCTCTCTCTGGTCTCTCTCTGGTCTCTCTCTGGTCTCTCTCTCTGGTCTCTCTCTCTGGTCTCTCTCTGTTCTCTCTCTGGTCTCCCTCTGGTCTCTCTCTGGTCTCTCTCTGGTCTCTCTCTGGTCTCTCTCTGGTCTCTCTCTGGTCTCTCTCTCTGGTCTCTCCCTCTGGTCTCTCTCTGGTCTCTCTCTGGTCTCTCTCTGGTCTCTCTCTGGTCTCTCTCTGGTCTCTCTCTGGTCTCTCTCTCTGGTCTCTCTCTGGTCTCTCTCTCTGGTCTCTCTCTGGTCTCTCTCTGGTCTCTCTCTCTGGTCTCTCTCTCTGGTCTCTCTCTCTGGTCTCCCTCTGGTCTCTCTCTGGTCTCTCTCTCTGGTCTCTCTCTCTGGTCTCCCTCTGGTCTCCCTCTGGTCTCCCTCCGGTCTCTCTCTGGTCTCTCTCTGGTCTCCCTCTGTTCTCTCTCTGGTCTCTCTCTGGTCTCCCTCCGGTCTCTCTCTGGTCTCTCTCTGGTCTTCCTCTGGTCTCTCTCTGGTCTCTCTCTGGTCTCTCTCTGGTCTCTCTCTGGTCTCCCTCTGGTCTCTCTCTGGTCTCTCTCTGGTCTCTCTCTGGTCTCTCTCTGGTCTCTCTCTGGTCTTCCTCTGGTCTCTCTCTGGTCTCTCTCTGGTCTCTCTCTGGTCTCCCTCTGGTCTCTCTCTGGTCTCTCTCTGGTCTCTCTCTGGTCTCTCTCTGGTCTCTCTCTGGTCTCTCTCTGGTCTCTCTCTCTGGTCTCTCTCTGGTCTCTCTCTGGTCTCTCTCTGGTCTCTCTCTCTGGTCTCTCTCTGGTCTCTCTCTGGTCTCCCTCTGGTCTCCCTCCGGTCTCCCTCCGGTCTCTCTCTGGTCTCTCTCTGGTCTCTCTCTGGTCTCTCTCTCTGGTCTCTCTCTGGTCTCTCTCTGGTCTCTCTCTCTGGTCTCTCTCTCTGGTCTCTCTCTGGTCTCTCTCTGGTCTCTCTCTCTGGTCTCTCTCTGGTCTCTCTCTCTGGTCTCTCTCTGGTCTCTCTCTGGTCTCTCTCTCTGGTCTCTCTCTGGTCTCTCTCTGGTCTCTCTCTCTGGTCTCTCTCTGGTCTCCCTCTGGTCTCTCTCTGGTCTCTCTCTGGTCTCTCTCTGGTCTCTCTCTGGTCTCTCTCTGGTCTCTCTCTGGTCTCTCTCTCTGGTCTCTCTCTGGTCTCTCTCTGGTCTCTCTCTGGTCTCTCTCTCTGGTCTCTCTCTGGTCTCTCTCTGGTCTCCCTCTGGTCTCCCTCCGGTCTCCCTCCGGTCTCTCTCTGGTCTCTCTCTGGTCTCTCTCTGGTCTCTCTCTCTGGTCTCTCTCTGGTCTCTCTCTGGTCTCTCTCTCTGGTCTCTCTCTGGTCTCTCTCTGGTCTCTCTCTGGTCTCTCTCTCTGGTCTCTCTCTGGTCTCTCTCTCTGGTCTCTCTCTGGTCTCTCTCTGGTCTCTCTCTCTGGTCTCTCTCTGGTCTCTCTCTGGTCTCTCTCTCTGGTCTCTCTCTGGTCTCCCTCTGGTCTCTCTCTGGTCTCTCTCTGGTCTCTCTCTGGTCTTCCTCTGGTCTCTCTCTGGTCTCTCTCTGGTCTCTCTCTGGTCTCTCTCTGGTCTCTCTCTGGTCTCTCTCTGGTCTCTCTCTGGTCTCTCTCTGGTCTCTCTCTGGTCTCTCTCTGGTCTTCCTCTGGTCTCTCTCTGGTCTCTCTCTGGTCTCTCTCTGGTCTCCCTCTGGTCTCTCTCTGGTCTCTCTCTGGTCTCTCTCTGGTCTCTCTCTGGTCTCTCTCTGGTCTCTCTCTGGTCTCTCTCTCTGGTCTCTCTCTGGTCTCTCTCTGGTCTCTCTCTCTGGTCTCTCTCTGGTCTCTCTCTGGTCTCTCTCTGGTCTCTCTCTGGTCTCTCTCTGGTCTCTCTCTGGTCTCTCTCTGGTCTCTCTCTGGTCTCTCTCTCTGGTCTCTCTCTGGTCTCTCTCTCTGGTCTCTCTCTGGTCTCTCTCTGGTCTCTCTCTCTGGTCTCTCTCTGGTCTCTCTCTGGTCTCTCTCTCTGGTCTCTCTCTGGTCTCTCTCTGGTCTCTCTCTGGTCTCTCTCTGGTCTCTCTCTGGTCTCTCTCTCTGGTCTCTCTCTGGTCTCTCTCTGGTCTCTCTCTCTGGTCTCTCTCTGGTCTCTCTCTGGTCTCTCTCTCTCTGGTCTCTCTCTGGTCTCTCTCTGGTCTCTCTCTGGTCTCTCTCTGGTCTCTCTCCTGTCCCTGTGCTCCTGTCCCTGTGCTCATGTCCCTGTGCTCCTGTCCCTGTGCTCCTGTCCCTGTGCTCATGTCCCTGTGCTCCTGTCCCTGTGCTCCTGTCCCTGTGCTCCTGTCCCTGTGCTCATGTCCCTGTGCTCCTGTCCCTGTGCTCCTGTCCCTATGCTCCTGTCCCTATGCTCCTGTCCCTGTGCTCCTGTACCTGTGCTCCTGTCCCTGTGTTTCTGTCCCTATGCTCATGTCCCTGTGCTCATGTCCCTGTGCTCCAGTCCCTATGCTCATGTCCCTGTGCTCTTGTCCCTGTACTCCTGTCCCT